CTAAAGCATCTCTGTCCTAAGGAGGGGGGGGGGGGAACACCAAAAGAAAACGGGCAAAAACTAGCAGGCTGAATGTATAAGCAAAAGATAAGACAAACCTACCCCTCACAACTACTAAGGCCAATTCATTCCTCAGAAAATTAAGACGGTAACACTGGTTGGCCACAGGAATATGGTATGGGATGTTGTAGATGAGACTCAGAGCACAAATATTTAATCTGGGTGCCCCTCCATATCCTCATCTACTAAACAAAACAGAGGCTATGTACTGCTGACCCTCTCCTCTACTATCAATTATCTGCAAAGGTTCATAAAGGTTGAATGAATGAAATCTCATACAGTAACAAAGAGGCAGGATCCAGCAATACTGGAAGTCTCTCACCCTGTGTGGTTATCAAGATGAATGAATGACAGTCCATATTCTTTATTTCCTTTCACATATAATTTAATATAGCAAAAACCAATAAATCTAAGAAACACTGACACTAATCATTTATCCTCTTTTCCTAGCATGTTGGAGGATCCTGAATATTACTTACTTGTATTAGGTGTACAAGGCAGGTTTAAGAAAGATGTGCATCATGTAAGTATTAGCAGATGAATGCAGCACTGAGTAGAGACCAAGCTAGTGGTCTATCAGAACTCCTGCAAAACAACTGTCTTCTTAAAACCTTCAGTTAATTTGAAAAAGAAGACGGAAGAAGCACATAGTAATGAAAAGCAATGGACTACAGAGTCAGACTGACTTGGGGTTGCATCCTAGCTCTGACTTCTAGTTGTATGATCATGGAGTTTTACCATCCCCAATGAGTTTCAACCTCCTGAAAAGAGAAATTACAATGCCTTAGAGGGCTATAGTGATGATTATATAAGATTAAATAAGATGATTAAATAAGAAAAAAAAGTGTGTGTGTGTGTATCTTACCCAACATAAAAGACAAGGAAAGTGATATATAAAAGCTATCTACACCTATCTATATGCTCAATTAACATGTTAAAAGCCACAGGTACAATCCTGATATTTTTGTAATTTTAAGAGTACCTGACTAATCTCACTGCATTGCAATAAACCTTTTAATTCTGGTTCTGATTTCTTTCATGATTAAAATGTTCTTGTGCTTCAATTAAAAAAAAAATAAAATGTTTTAAAATTATTTCTTAAAGACAACTTTGGCTTATTCCTAATACTGCACACTTCATCATATTAATATTCTGTGCAATTACTTAACTTTTGAGAAGGATGCTGGAGATCCAACCCAGGGCCTTGCTGATGAGCCTCACTTCCAGCTCCCATTTACTTTTTAAAGTAGCTCTCACTTTAGACTTAAAATTAAAAGAGGAGGCCAGAACTAAGGAAATAACTAAGTCTAAGGAATATACATGGTATATCTTATACAAGCAAAGCATTCCATGGCTAGAGGTATAATTCACATGATGGAGTTCTTAAGCAGACTCTGAAGACAACTGCTTTTCCAGGCCATATTTTTCCACTGCGTTCCATACCAAGAGATATCCCTCAACCCAAGAAAATGAGTGGGATACAGAATGCAAAAGTAGTGCTTTCTAACTCAGAGCACTTCTGACTGCCCCGTATTATAACTAGGGGAAATCCATTCCCCACTACTTGCCACCCTATCACTTCTTCCTTTGGAATGCACATAGCCAGTGTCAAGGACTGATTAGCAGACTCAGCCTAGGCAAGCTGTAGCTAGTTTTTTTTTTGCTCTTGGTGAAACCAAAAGAACACTCCTTTCTTCCCACATTTTGAAATCTTCAAGTTGACAAGTCAGTGACCATTTCTAAAACATGCAACATATTTTGCTTGAGGTGCTACAGAAGACTTGAAAGAATATCAATGAACAGGGTTACTTCCTGTTTTTCCTATCTAACAAAATGGAGTTATTATAGTGTATTGGAAATCATATATTAAGGAATGTTGGTTAACCAGTCACTCTTGCCAAGATCAGATATGAAAAGAAAACAAAAGTTGGCAACAATTCTAGCTCTGATATTTCTCTTCCAGAATTATATTTAATAAGGTTAATCTTTGAAGAATCCATTTTTTTACCTGATTTTAAATGGAATTTGGACACAATTTATAACTACAACACAAAATCATACAAGATTATCTTATGTGACTACTTCTATTATTTTATTAAAAAAAAATCACCAACTTAATTTTTAAAAAGACTTATTTTTAGCTAACTCTTACATGTCCTTTCTAGTAACAGGTCACTAAATTGTATTTTCATTTCAACAACTTCTAAAAGGAAGTGAAACTGAGGGCTATATGAGGATATAACAGCAGCCTATGAAATATTCTTAGTTTTAAGCAAAAACTAACACTAACAAGTACAGCATATCTTGTTCTTTCATGGGCCAGCAAATTGATAGTTTGGTTTTTTAAGTTACAAAAATAGGATGGAGTAATTATATCTACCAAACTCACAATAGCCTGTTCAATGGAGAGTAACACTGTAATTTTTCTTCAAAGACAGTAAATAGGAAGAAAAAGCCCCTAATTCCGTAATATAAGGAAAAATCCCAAACCCTTGGGCGCCACTTACAGGCACTAAACTTTCACTGATTTCAGTTATTACCCTGAAGAGGGATAGACATAAAATCTTTGATTTTAATGGGTATTTCTTATATAATTTATTATTTGTAAATGTATTTCCTATACTTCCAATTTCTACATCCAAAATTATAAACTGAAGGAAATTCTTAAGTAAAAATCACAAAGCTCTCTTTTTAAAAAATTCAGTAGTTCTGTAGGAGAAGTCTTCAGACCTCCACTACTGTTGAAACAAAAATATTTAAAAATTTCAGTTTTAGATTTTCCTCTTGAAAGTATGAATAACTACTGTCAAAAAGAGGAAAATGCACAATTCAACTGAGATCTTATAGTACTGCTTACAATCAGCTTTTTCTAAGACTTTAAGTGGTAAATAATCTGACAATATAAATAAAACACATGGAAATATTATAGTACAAGTATTTTTCTCTATAATCTAAGTTTTTACACCAATAGATTCAAATGAATTTCAACCCCACTGTCAAGAAAACTGAAAAAAATAATCACTACATTTCAAAAGATAGGGATCAAAATTTTATTACAAATGAAATCTTTGCATATGACATTTGGGATGAACCAAGAGCATTCTGGTTAATAAAATTACTTGTTTGAAAAAATATTATGCTTACTAATCCATTATTTAATATACTGTGCAATTAAATCCCCCCTTAAAGAAAGGAAACAAAAATTAAGCATGGATTACTTAGTCTTTGAATCTCACAAATTATTTATTATATCCAAAAAATAAATAAAATTAATTTCTCAAATTTGGGGTCAATTTTTTTAAAAATCCGAAATGTAGTAACAATTGCCTTCTAAGAATTATTCTGATTGAGTTTTAATCTGATCTGCACAGAAACAAGACACCGTGGAGCAACATTTCTTCTTGTAAGACTAAGTTATGTGTACCACTGCATACAGAAAACTGTACCAGTCACAAATCTCCTTTCATTGTAATATTGCCATGGTACAGTGCTAAGCATATTTTTTAGATTTTATTTATTTTTTGGTAGGGGAAGACTTCCAAGTAATAAACGGACCATGTTTTTAAACCAACATACAAGTGCACAAAAAAGAATCAAAGCATATTAAATAATTAACCAAAACCTACTGTCTGACGCATCTCACAGTAGACACACTTTACTCCCTTAATAAATGTCAGGGAATTCTATAGAGCAGCGAGTGACTATTACGAAAATATTTCCAGCAACTCTAAACGCCCATCAACACTTTGTGCTTTTGCAATTACTATCAGTTGTTTAAAAAAAAAAAAAAAAAAAAAAAGACTATAGCTGTCACACTTAAAAGAACTTCTTTTAACAGAAAAATTTCCAATAGCCAAAACAGTGTGAGGCCGAGGAGCCAAATTACCTTACACATTTCCTAATTCACGTGCACCATAAGACCCATCTGAGCCGAAGCCCACAGCACCGTGACCCCTGGAATTCGGCGGCGGCCGGTGCAGCTGCACCAAGCAGGCAGCACCGCACCCGCGCTGCGGTTCCCAGCCACGCCGCAGGGGCTGCGGGGAGCAGTCACCACCGCTTTGAAACTGAATGGCTGACACATCCGGTCCTGGCTCCTACACCACTTCGCCAAATGCAAACTTCAAAGGCCAAATTCAAACTCCAAACAGAAGTCACTGGAGTCTTAGTGATGCAGTATGAATTCCCAAGAACACAAGGAGCTGTTGGGGGTCGCAGTTCGAAAAACCACACGTCCTAGAAGACCGCAAGCCCCGCCGAGTCTGCAGCGGTCAGCCGGTGCCGCTTTGACAGGCGTTACCCCGCGATACACCCGGAGCCCCCGCGGCCGGTACTCGAGGCGCGCCGCCTGCGCCCGGGTCCGGTCCCGGTTCCTGCCCGGGCACTCAAGTTCCTACGGGCCCAAGGGCTCTGCCTGTCACAGCCGGGGACCTGCCGCCTTCTTGGCCCTCCGTGCCCCCCACCCGACCTTGGTCTTCCCAGTCCACCCCGCCCCTTTCCGACCTCCGCCCGCGCAGCTCGGGCCTCGCTCCCCAGTCCCTCGGGGACACCCGCCCGGGGCGCCGCCGCTGGGCTGGTACCCACCCTTGGTTCAGCCCCGGGACGCCCGTGCTCCTCGGGGAGCCCCGATCCCCGGAAACCCACAAAGCCAGCTGGGGCCCCACACCTTTCCCCAACGGGTCCCCGCAGCGCGGCTCGCACGCCTGTCACATGTCTGCAAACAATAACAAACTCTCCGGCACGTCCTCGTCCAGTCCCCCGGCTGGGACCCGGACGCCGGCCGACCCTGGAGGGCTCCGAGGTGCCAGTGGGCGCAGGTCCAGGCGAGTGGTGCCGAGCCCCGCAACGCCGAGCCCCGGGACTCCGTGCGCGGTGCCCGGGATTCATTCATTGCCCTCCGCCCGCCCAGGACCCGCCGCACCCCGGCCGCGCTTGCTTACCCGGCGGGGGCCGCTGCAGGAGGCGGCTCGGCGGCAGGCGCCGGTTTTTCCCCGGGCTCGGCCCCCACGGGGTTCGGGGCGCCGCTGTCCGGCGCGGCCGCTGGCTCCAGAGGGTGGGCGCCGCCGCCGCGGCTCGTGGGTCCGTGGAGCTGCGGCACCGCCACAGGCTGGAAACTGCTTCCACCCGCAGCCGCGTCCGCGGGCTCCGGCGACGGGGAAGTGGAGGAGGACGGCGGAGAGGCGGTGAGGAAGAGTGGTGACTCGGGCAGCTGGTCCAGCTCCACACTCCGCACTTTGCGCAGCTGCCGCCGCCGCCAGTCAGCCCGCTCGCGGCCCCCGCTGCCGGTCTCCCGCAGCAGCCCTGCGGCTGCCACGGGAGCGCTGCTCGCCTTGAGAGCCCCTCCGCCGCCGCCTGACTCGGGGCTCGTCGCCCCGGCGCCCGGGAATCCAGACGACGAGGCGCGATTCCCCGCCGCCGCCGCCATTTTCTCTCGCGGGCTACATTCGCTCGGCCCCTGCGAGGGAGGGAGGGGGCGGGGAGAGCGCAGGGGGCGGGCGGACGGGCGGGCGCTGCGCCGCCGGCGTAGGACTGCCTGCGCTATCTGCGTGAGCGCGGCCCGCCAGCGCCGGCCTGGAGGACCCGCGGGCGGGCGCGCGGTTGCCGGCCAGCGACGAGGCGGAGGCGGAGGGTGCGCCCGGGGAGGCGGTGGGCGCAGGTGGAAGGGAGGGAGTGGTCAGTGCGCCCGATTCCACAAGGGCGAGCACGGTGGGCTCCGAGAGCCCGCGCTCGGCGCTCTGGGATGGGATGGGCGCACTGCAACCGCTGCGCCCCCAGGTAGTCCCGGCCACACGGGCGAGAGGCTGGGGCTTGGTGGTAGCTTTGCGCCTCTTCCCCTTTGCTGCAATCTCGGCCCAGCTTGGGGGCGTGTGTGTGGGTGTGTGGGGGGGGGTCGATGAAGCGCGCCCAACGGGAGTTGCAGATTCTGAACGAAATAATTAGTTCGAACTTGTATTTATGGTGCTTGAAGGGGACGCAGGCCAGAAGGTTTGCAGTCTGTCATTCGCACTGCTCTTTGCAGTGGATGTCTGGGGTCCCAGCGCCGACCAGCCTTCCACCCCTAGCCCGCCCGCGCCCGACGCGCAGGTGGCGCCCAGGATTGTAGCTTGTTGCAAAGCAAAAGCCAGCGTTTACCAGACGTGCTGTTGCGGACCAAAAGTAAATAAAAAGTTTTGAAGAAAGCATTCCAGCTCTTTTGTCCCATCCCCACCCCCTCGTGCTACAAATCGCAAAACTTTAAGGTTTCTCATCCTTACTTCACATCCTGAAACTGTGATTTGGGACAGCACCCCCACCCCCACCACCCCGCGCGCACCACCACCACCGCCACCGCACAAACACCCACCGGCTAGAGAGACAGGGAGGAGCGGGGGTCCCTGCAGATCTTTATTTTTTCCTTCGGCAGGCATATACAGAACCACAGAGCGCACGTTTGGGGTAAGAACCAATGCTGTGCCAGGAAGAGCTTTCATGTCATCTTCCGTCAAGTCTTGGCCCTCCCCGAATCCGATGCTTCTGTCTGCACGTCCTTCTTTCCGGCAGTCAGGTGATAGGCTGGGTTCCCCAGTCCGCAAGTCCCCACCCCTGAAATGCCCGGGTTGTCGAACGTGGCATTGGAAACCCTTGCAGACCAGGAGAGACTCTGCGAGAAGGTGCTTTGGGAAGTGAAAGCAACATTTACATGTTAATGATTTTTGACTTTTTTTCAACCGAGTAGACCTTCTGTATCGCGTTTATTTTCCCCCGTCTCTTCTTTTCCTCTACACGTTTGGTCTAAGTTGGGAAATCTCCCAGAACCTGGGAGCAATGTCTCTAGATTTATTTTATGAAACATTAATTAAGACAGGGGGCAGGAGGGGTTTCTCACATAGAGAAAGGGGAGAGCTATCTTTGTCAATCATAATGTATCTAGACAAAAGCTTGAGCAATCTACAAAATAATTATTTTGACTTCTCGAAAATAGATTAAATGAAAGCCCCCTTCTCAGACATAATGTTAACTGAAAAGGAAGGTGACATAGAGGGATTCTTAAAAGGGTCCTGATTTCATATTAGTTAAATGTTTTGAATATTGCTCTGACATCTGCCATAAGATAGTTTTAAATCATTACATCCAAGGATACAAATTTTGAAAGTTTAGATAAATCTGTTAATTTTTTAGCTCTACGTTTAGATTATAATTATATGCTTTTTAAAGGTAGTCAAGCATATCATCCATACCAAACAGAAGCTATTTCCCAGGTCTTCCCTGATTGCCCCACCCACCAAGTCCTGAACTGAAATGGATAAGCGTTCCTCATTTTTTATTTAGATCCAAAAATTATTTACATTTTTTTCTCACTTAGATAATTAAGTGAGAAAAGTAAGATTTAACCTTTGAAAATGGTTCCAACTTCTGACCAATTTTGTTTAAGCAAAGGAGCAGAGTAAAAATGGGATTCCAGCAAGAGGTTACCTCTATCTGTAGGATGATTGAAACTGGGGACCAAACGCAACATTATCAACTAGCAATGATAGTTTCCATCCACTACACAGCATCACTGAGAAACCTAAATGTTGGTCATTCGCATAGATTCTGTTGCTTTGATTGATTTTTCCTGTAATCTTTTATGGAAACATTCTGGGTGTTGATATGCATCTGCATATGGACACACTGAATTCTTTAGAGAGACAATTCACCTAAGGATCAACTTGATTTTGCATGTTTACAGAAAGTCTTCTTAATTTTTTTTACTTGTTCTAATTAGTTATACATGACAGCAGAATACATTTCAACTCTTTGTACACAAATGGAGCACAAGTTTCCATTTCTCTGGCTGTACACGATGCAGAGTCAAATTGTTCATGTAATCATACATGTACATAGGGTAATGAAGTCTGTCTCCTTCCACCATTCTTAGAAAGTCTTTTTTTGAAGAGTATTTGCATGGATTCCTGCCCAACTTTCTGAGTCTTAAGCATGATTAAACCTTTTGCTATGGTTTTGGTGCTGCTTGAATCCTGCTTTATATCGCTGCACAGACGCATATGTCAAATACCAAGCTACTGTTGACTCTTAATTGCCTTAATTTGATTTTTTTAATGACATAAAGGACACATCTTTCTTACAAGGTTGCCTCTAGACCAAAAACTCCAATTACCATTTCCAAGCTCTTTATTCTCACCCAGATATAAACTTTGCAGTGATTTCCCATACACCATGGCAATTTCAGTAAATTTACACCCGTGCTTTACAGATGACTGCTCCCTCACAGTGCTTCTGGGAATCACCTAAGTCACACTTCAGTTCCTAAGTCAAGTTCATTTGGAGTATCCAGTTAAACATTTGACATTTTTTTGGCTGTACATAAATATCACAGGCATTAAAATGAAAAAAAAAATGTATGCACTGGCAGAATTACTTCAGCTTGTACCTCATTCATTATATATTTATCAAGCATCTACTATGTATGTGCAAGAAATTTTTCCCCTCCTGGGAGATATGTTTTTGTTTTTCTTCATTTATTCAAAACATTCTCATCTACAGTTTTATTAGTGGTTATTTATTGGGCTGACTCACAGAATTTCAGATCCATCAGTATGTGAATATATTCATATCATAGCTATGTTTGTGAGATCTGCCTTAGGTGGACATAGAAACTTAAGAGTATAATCTTGAGGGCTGGGGATGTGGCTCAAGTGGTAGCGCGCTCACCTGGCATGTGTGCGGCCCAGGTTCGATCCTCAGCACCACAAACAAAGATGTTGTGTCCGCCAAAAACTAAAAAATAAATATTAAAATTCTCTCTCTCTCAAAAAGAGTATAACCTTGAGAATAGGCCAAAAGCTGTCCTCTCGGACTTGTAGATATTTATTGTGTAACACATGCAGGAGAGATGGGGACTAGAACTTGATTTCTCTATCCTTTTCCTAGACACCACACTTCCCAGTGTTCCCAGATGTTTTAAATCAGGAAATCTTGTCATCTGTGTGGTAATTGGCCTCCTATAAGGGCACTGTAGGTGATATTATAGTAGCAAGTCTCTCAACTAGCCTCCACTTCACCATGCTTCAAAGGCCTCTGTGAAGATTATTGTTGGAGGAAGGCAGGAGGTGGAAACTTGAGAAGTGGATTTGGGTCAAGGTGGCAGTTAAGGTTTATAAAACCAAATGGCATTGAACATTTGGAATGGAAGCCCATAGAAAAAAAGAAAAAAATGTCTCTAGGTGTATACCATATGCAGCATATAAAACAAATCTGAAAGGTTGTAAGAAGAGAATCCTCGAAGTCTCTAGACTGAATAGGCTGCTAAAAATTACTATTAAAATAATTATAAAACTGTATTGAATCTTGATTATGTGCCAGGAGAGTGATAACCACTTCATGAATATTGAATTATTTGATCTACATAGTAACCCTATGCAGTAGACACTATCATCATCTCCATTTTACAGACAAAGAGACTGAAGCCCAGGGAGATTAAATAACTGAACCAAGAGTATGCAGTTGGGAAGCAGCAGAGACAAGATTTCAACTTAGAATGGGCTCTATATTCTGTTCTTATAACTTCAAAGCTGCAATATATGTTTATTATTACTAACAAATTTAGAATATCTTTGTTGTTTTTCTATAGTTAGTTCTTACTTTCTTAGTAAACATAAAATTATTCACCAAATCTTTCAGAGTTCTTGTCTCAATGCAGCTTTTATTCCCTAATGCCTTAAACATCTGAAGTGAAAATTATACCATGAGGGTCTTCACCAATATACCCCCTTGAATGGAGAAAGAGAGAGGAATACTACACTTTGCTTTTTTTTTTTTTTTTTTTTTGAAATAAAAGTTCTAAGTTGCATCAACTTTTCTATTTGAAAAAAAAATTTTTTTTGTAGACCAGGCAGAAAAATTTACCTTTGAATTACTATAGGTCTTAAGATTAATTATACAAAAAATAGTAAAAAAAATGTAGAGACAGCTGCCCATAAAATTCCCTCCTCTCTCCATCCATTACCATGCAAGTGTACTGGGGAGCCTCTGACTAACTAGGAACTATGTGTTCCAGCATGCCTTGCAGCTAGGTATGAGAGCTGCCAATTTAAAAGAAATGGCACAGCTGGATACAAGTGACTACAATGGCCCAGGGGATTGCAGAGCAAGGGAATAAAAGGGTCCCTGGAAGGTCTGGATGGAGGACAGCCCCCCACCCCAACCCCCAGCCCCCCAGACAACATCAGTTTCTTCCCAGGAGTAAAATTCTATTGTCTTGAGCCATTACATGTTTAGATGTATTTGGTATAGCAGTTTAATCTACTCTAAATAATACAATATAATTTTCTTTGTTCTCTAATGCATTGTGAAACTTAAAGCTTTCTATAGGAAAAGCAGTATGACATAAAGACAGGAGGGTTTTGGTATCAGCCTGGCCTAGTGTTTGAATCTCAGCTCTTCCTCGATTAGTGATGTGACCTTT